CTGTTTGTTTCAGCCTCTTAATGGTTCAGATGTCTGAATGGTTCAGCACTTAATGATTCAGACTGTTTGTTTCAGCCTCTTAATGGTTCAGATGTCTGAATGGTTAAGAGATTTGCCTCTGAATGATTAAGTATTATACAGAGTCTGAATGGTTAAGACCTCTTATCTGAATTGATCAGACATTTGCTTTTGAATAGGTAAAGCAATATACTAGCTCTTAATGGTTCAGCACTTAATGGTTCAGACCTCTTACTGGTTCAGCACTTACCTTTTCAGAAGTTGCCAAACATCCCCTAAGTCTACTTGTAACCAGTCATCCACCTCAACATGCCCATTTTTGCTATTTGAAGATGATGAACATGGTTTTTTCAGTACTCGACCTGGTGTTTTATATAATATGATTAGTCTTGCCACTTATTGATATAAGTTTTCTTTCATCCTTTCCGATATCTTCTTTTCAGAAAAAGACATATGAAGCTAGCCTCAGTTTCATACCCACATGATTACAATACGATGAGCAATATACTCGCCCAACATTTCATCTCCTCGAGTCATCAAATCAAGATAGTGAAATTTGTCTCTTGTAAGCATTATGTGTGAGTCCCTCACTTCCTCTACTGCCTCACTCGCCCGACCACTAAAGCACGCATCATTCCACATTTCAACATACTCATGTTTCAGCCATGCTCAAGTGAATGTTTCACACACTTTCCGTTTATCATAGAGTTTCTCTCTTGTCTAATGAGTACGATCGATGACATCAACGAATAACATGCACCAAAGTACGTACCTCCCCTAAACACGTTGCATAAAAACATCAATCACCAAATCAAACAGATAAAGGACTAAGGCCAGGTAGTCCCATCCATCGGGAATGGTTAGTTCAGAGTCACCCAACATCCTTTGCCGTGGTACTCGTACTAACATATGTCTTGAGAAAAATATGCAATTGTTACATTTTTTATAAATATGTTTTGACAAAAAAACTTCAATATTTAAATTTTCATTTTATAAAATATTATTATATAATTTTTAAAAAGTTCTAAGTAATTTTATAAAATTCTAAAAATTAAAAATTTTAAAAATTTTCATATTATAAAATATTAAAAAAATTGGATCACAAGTTGTAGAAATTAAAGATGTACCAACTAACATACAACTTGCAGAATGTAGAGTACATAACATTCCGATGTAACTTCCAAGTTTAAATTCCTTCAATTACACTTTTTTTCTTCTTTCTTTATGATCTTCTTCTCCTCCTCTGATCTTTTTTTATGCATGCTCCGGCCACCAGCTTCACTATAATTTTCTGTCAAGCCACTAGACAGTAATTTTCGGTTTAGTCATATTTATGGAATAAAAAAGTTTAAATTCTACATTGAAAAATAACTTATATTTAAGTCTTATTTAGTACACATTTTTCATAATAATACTTCCTCCATTCTAAAAAAACCATCATTGTTTGACTTTTTTGATCGAATTATGTTACATGTTGACAACAATTTATGAGAAAGACATATTTAGTTATAATATAAATTTATTAATAAAATTAGATTGATTTTAAAAAATCTTTTTCATATATCAAATTCTTATAACATTTTTAAAACTACATTTGAAAATTTTGTATTAGCAACGAAACCTACATTGTCAAATAGGGTATATACTACTCCCTCCGTCCCCGAAAGATGTTCCCCTTTCATTTTTTCTTTATCCCACAATCTCCTTACCTTTTTACTAATAATCTATCTATCAAATTATACTTTTATCCATCACATCAAAGGACATTTTTGGAAATTCAATACCAAAATACACTCCCCTTAAATCCCTCTCCAAAACCAAAACTCCCATGTTTTCCGGGACGGAGGGAGTATATTAGCCATACATTTACAAGTTATATGTTGTTCATTTCACTCATTTATTTTTCCTCTACACACTATGCATACAAATTATAAAAGTACGAAGTACTATATACTCCCTTCGTCCCTAAAATTAAAGAAGTTTTCTTATTGACTTTTTGGAAAATTAAGGAAGAGATATTTTGATGTTGACTTTTCAAAAATACCCTTGATATGATGGATAAAAATAAGATGCGATGGATAGATTGTGATAGGTAGGGTATGAAAAAGTAAGGGGTAAAAGTGACTTTTTAATAGAAATGAGAAGTGTTTTTTGGGACGGATGAAAAAAGAAAGGAGAAAGGTTTTCTGGGGCAGAGAGAGTACAATATTACAACAAATCCAAATTTACAATATACAAACTATCAGACACAAACAAAGATGAATTACATTTTTTTATTCAAATTTGGTTTTTTAATACATATATTTGGCGATTTTAATCTTTTATCAAAAATTCTTTTTCCCTTTTTTTATGAATTATTATTATTTTATTTTTGATATTGAAATAATAATATTTTTTCCCGAGCCATGAATTAATATTAATAAAAATAAGTTGCTCTGGCCCTTTAACCATATTTTTCGAGACATGGATTATTGTCATGCAAATTATGAAATGAATAATTATTTGCATTGTTGGTACTAAAATGTGTAAAAAAAAAAAGTGATAATGAGTGTCAGTCACAAAAAATAGTGTGACACCAAAAAAATTAAAAGAGATATTGAAACAAATGAAGTACTAGTACAAATTATTTTAATAAAAGCATGAAATTACTTCTGCTATTCTCAACTTCTTCAAAATTTCAAGTGCATCTTTTCAACTCAGAAAAACATACCTTTATTTATACGACAAAATCTTGTTTATATAAAATATAAAAAACACTATGAAATGTCATTAGACCGACAATGTGAAATTTTGTTTTAGTTAAGGATTAAAGCATGTACCTTGTATGTCTTATTTTGGTATAAGTTTCTTATTTTGATTTTTTAGTAGATTTTTTTTTATTTTACTTAGATTTTAATTTCTGTAAAGGATAAATTCTAAAGAGCACACATATTTAACTAGATTCGAAAAAGAAATGTGTTAGGGTATACCAAGTACGTTTGTCTATGTATGTTTGTGAACTTGTTGTACCCCTAGTTTTTTCTTCAAGAACAGAGCAATTAATTTACAGAGTATTACTTTACGGGGCGAGGGCAATGTCATGGATGACCCGAGGGCGCTCCGGTACTCTATTTATAAAATTGACGGTTCCTACCCCCTTTAATCCCCTGTAACCCCCCCCCCACCCACC